ATCTGCTAGGCAACCTGTCCTGGCACTGAGGTCGCCACAAATGATGATATGTGTGTCATTATAATGACCTTTGAGATCTAAGATAGCCCTATCGAGGTATTCAACACCCTTCTTATCTCTAGTATCAGTCACAACAGAGGAGGCCTCAGAATGAATGTAAACAATGTCTTGCATCCAAAGTAAGAAAAATGCAGTCACTGTATGTTGTTATAACCTTCTTCACACCATCATGCAAATCAATCTTAATCATAACACGGACTCCACCTCTATTATTGTAATCTCTCAAGTTTGGAAAATTTGGAAAATTGTTCTGTACGAACTCCTGTTTACATTGCCTCAAACCTCTCGAAATCCAATAATATAACATTGTGGACAGTATTCAACAAGACCAGGCTTGGACAGTTTTGTCTGTAGTACCCGTGTGTTCCATGTGAAAAGGGAAATAACTTCAGCATGGTGAGCCCGGCCCCTATCCTAGGTCAGTGTGGAGACTTCATCGTGACGACTGCTACCTCTCCTAGAGAAAACAGCTTTATCCTCCTGACTGTTCCAGCTCACAACCTCTCCGTCATCAAAGATTAGTTTATCAAATCTAAGTTTTGATCTTCGACCCTTTTCTCTTTCAGAATCCATTATAGTTTTCAGGGTTTATTTCGTATGAGTCGAACTCTAAGGGAAAAGTCCTCTGAGATGTAAATACCTGTATCCTTGAGTGATCGTGCATTTCACAGAATCTCACGTTTCACTTTGTAATCCAGCAACTTAATGATAAAGGATTTACCACGATTAACTCTGTGCGCTCTCTCAATAGTAATAGAAGAGTCGTCAGTGTCCATCTACCAATGTAGTACCTTCCGCACTGAATCTTCACAGTCACTCCAGGTTTCATTAGATTTAGACTAAGTGATACCTTTGAACAGAAGATTGTTTCTCCTACCTTGGTTGTCCAGGTAGTCTCACTTGCCTGAGAGATCTGAAACGTTAGTTTTCAGAGTACAGCTTTCTTCTTCAGGTTTAGCACATTTTGCAGATAAATCGTTCACTGACTTCTTAATTCTACCAAAAGAATCTGAGAGTTCATCAAATCGTCCCGAGAGATCCTTTTGCACATTATCAACTTTAGTATTTATCTTGTGTAGTTCCTCCATGAGTCTCTCGAACTCAGACTTACTACCGGGATCACTATTGCTTGTGTCCGCTAGTTTAAGTTGTTTCTGACGCGTGTCAAGGCCTGGGTTGGGCTCAACACCAGCACGTAACACTAGCTCAGTAATCAAAGTCATCGGCACTGAGTACTTGAAGCCAGTGTTGTTGTTGTTAACTGTTGACATTGTATGAGCGCTTCTTCCGATTAACCCGAACGTGATCGAGTGACGAATTGAGAAACACAACATGTCATGCTCACTTGTCAAATTATGTAGTTGCGTGGGTGTATATTCACTCAAAATGTTCAGTTAATACGTCATGGAATTCAATACATGAGTTTGCGAGACAGTTACCTAGAGTCCCGACCGTCGACATAACCATGAAGCACGCCATACCTGTCATGGTGGTCCATTTTGAGTACGGGTTATATGGACAGACTTTTTCGACTTGTTTTAGGCCTTTAGAGTGGGGGAATACCCCTGTCCTGGCCCTCAACTGTTCTAGGATGTCTCCCATCTTCTTTGAACACAATGAATGATTTATTTTCAGAAGGTAATGGCCAAGTGTCTGAAGCTTTCCAGGGTTTCATGGCCGTGCAGCAAAATATGGAAGAAAAGGCCTATATGCAAGATGTATTTATGACGTTTTGACAATACTTAACCCAGTTGGGAAACTGTAGGTAGGTACTTCTGTGTAGTGACTATCCCGCATTCATTGATCTCCAAGGATTTGTTCCATACACTGCATGGCAAAGTGTACTCAGAGCACACGGAAATTCTCGGTATGGGCGTCGTATAAACTCAGGTAATGAAAACCAGAATAGTGGATTTTGTAGAACTGACGGGATTGACGTCTGAATAACGTCTTACGGCATTCCGATGCTACATTTCTCCTTCAGTGGGTCGTGGAGACGCTTATCGCCTTGTTTCGACAGGTACCTCGCCAAAGAATTATAAAAAAGGTAACTAGACACAAACACAGTTTCATGTTTATTGGTCTTATAGAACACTTCAAAGGATGTGTTGGGTGTAAGGTAGGGTGTGGTGTTGGGTGTAGGGTCTAGGGTGTAGGGTGTAGGGTCTAGGGTGTGGGGTGTTGAGTGTTGGAAATAGGGTTTAAGATAAGAGTTACAGTGCGTCGACCTGGCAGAAGAAAGGTTATTTGAGTCATTTTGTAATATTTAAATCCCATGTAAGATTAGATATTGGCAATGAATTAGAAATCAGGGCCTAGATTTTCGAAGTTCCCTTAGCGCTACGATAGTCGTAAGTGCCATACATTAACATTACCTTACGACTGTCTTAGCGCTAACAGAGCTTCGAAAATCTAGGCTCGGGATTTCAACACATTAATACAATCTTACGGTTTTATTGAGGTTATAATCTGATGCGAGGAAAGGCTGCATTATTTGGAATAAAAACATTCTCTATAATTTCTGGGAATATTATATATTATATATCTTTTCAAATCATTTACATCGTTAACATGCTGGCTTTAGTTTGTTATGCACACTGTATTCTGTACACTCGGAGATCATCTGTATCAGTGTTATAAGTATACCATAAAATTAGAATTACTGGATTTGGTAGAACTGAAAATCCAACCTTTGTCTCTTTTCTCAGGTTGCGTATACGGACATCGCCTTTAGTACAAGGAAACGCTCACCCATATATTTCCGTCGGTCTGACTAAACCACCATGTTTGTCCTGGCAAGACAATTGCAAGGGGCAACGAACACCTGACTGCAAGGACGATAATGCTTTGTTAATAAAGTGGTACATGCTGTTTGGAAGAGTCGAATATCACGTTGATGAGTCGAATATTTAATCGGGTGAACCCATTATCGCCTGGTTTGGTCGATTATCATGAAGCGGCGGGGTGACTATCACGCGAATGAATCGAATACCTAAATCGGGTGAAACGAATATGACGTGTATGGTCTTATATGCTGTTGGATGAATGGAAAATCATGTTCCACTCACAGTTACTTTCATTCTTCTGCTTTGAAGGGATAACATGTGTCAATACTCAACAATGGCCTCTTTCTATTTTGCCAGTGTTTGTAGATCATGACGTTATAAGCACAAACTTCTCCTCCCTCTCTCTTCTTTCTCTTCTCCCCTTTTCTTCTTCTCCACTTTCTACTCATCTTTTCTTTCTCTTCCTCCTTCTACCCCTCCTCTTTTCTCCCTCCTCCTCATCTTCTCCACCGCCCTCTCCTTCTTCTATTGAGCAAGTAACCCCGGCTATTGAAACGAGGAAGTAAGGAGCAGTCCTAAAATATGTCTCCTGGACAATCAAAGTCAAGCGAACATGCCAAACTAAAAGCCCAGTCTCACTGGAAAAAGTCGATTGGATTGAACCAAAAAAATTGTAGACTTGATGAAAAAGAATTACCTATTAACACACTGCTCACTCATGAGGTATTGGTGACCTACTCTTCGCTGGATTTCCTATCAGCATTTTTGCAAGTGCTGTAATAAATGCGTGCCATCTGCTGAGTACTATAGAAACACATTTTTAAGCTGATAGTAAGACAGTTGCAATCTGTTGGTGTACAATGACAAGCCTAGGTACTAGCAGTAAGGAAACGCCAGGTTTAAAGCTGGTCCACGTTCCAAGGTTGAGATGACAAGGGCATATTCTGAAAAGTTCCGTTACATATCATTTCTAAGAATAGTACTTACATTTACTAAGAGTGTGCTTACCATTGTTGGGACCAGTGGTGTGATGAAGGGTTTATTTATTTATTCTCAGTCGCACAGAAAAGATCAATACTATTACGGATAAATCCAAATATATTTTTCATATGTGTATGTATGTGTGTACATATGTGTATGTATGTTTGTATGTATGTATGTATGTATGTATGTATGTATGTATGTATGTATGTATGTATGTATGTATGTATGTATGTATGTATGTATGTATGTATGTATGTATGTATGTATGTATGTATGTATGTATGTATGTATGTATGTATGTATGTATGTATGTATGTATGTATGTGTGTGTATGTATGTGTGTATGTATGTATGTATATATGTATGTGTCTGTCTGTCTGTCAGTATGTCTGTCTGTCTGAATGTATGTATGTATATATGTATGTGTCTGTCGGTCTGTCTGTATGTCAGTATGTCTGTCTGTCTGTCTGTCTCAATGTGTGTATGTATATGTGTGTTAGTAGGCATGTATGTATGTATGTATGTGTATGTGTGTGTATGTATATGTGTGTGTGTATGTATATATATGTAGGCATGTATGTATGTATGTATGTATGCATGTGTGTATGTATATATATATGTATGTGTGTATGTGTGAATGTATGTGTAAACATATGTGTATATGTGTGTATGTATGTATGTATGTATGTGTATGTGTGTATGCATGTGTGTGTATGTATGTGTGTATGTATGTATATATGTATGTGTCTGTCTGTCTGTGTGTGTGCATGTGTGTATGTATGTATGTATGTGTGTATGTATGTATGCATGTGTGTGTGTATGTATGTATGTATGTATGTATGTATGTATGTATGTATGTATGTATGTATGTATGTATGTATGTATGTATGTATGTATGTATGTATGTGTGTGTATGTATGTATGTATGTATGTATGTATGTATGTATGTATGTATGTATGTATGTATGCATGCATGCGTGTGTGTGTCTGTCTGTCTGTCTGTCTGTCTGTATGTATGTATGTACACAACACAAAAAAGAAAAAGAAGAGGAGGCGGAGGAAGAAGAAAACAAACACCAATAACAGCAACAAAACAGACAAAAACACTGCCATGAAACTGAGCGACGATGTTAACCATTTACAGCTTCCCCAATCAGAGCAAAACACTTGTTATTACCAACAATTTTATTGCCGTTTCTACATCTCAGGTGAATGTAGATTCTGCTTATGTACACTTGATGTCCGCTGTCTTTAGTTTGTCCACCTCGTCACACTGGATTTTGTCAACGGGGCTCTGCCTATTCTTAGGGTCACCGCAGTAGGCGTTCTTGAAACGCTGTGGACAGGAGAGTGAGTGAATGAAATGAATATCCAGTGTTATCTGGGTAGCATATCGTGTGATATCACTTCGGTTATATGAGTGTTTATTATGTAACCTGTTCCTCAAGTCACACAGAGTTAATCTTGCTTTTCGCCGAAATATGAATATTCATGTCAGGCTAGAACAGGGTACACGAACAAAGGACGACCAACAAATGAAGTGAATCAAAGTTGTGAGTGAACCCTTTAACTTTTGGCCAACACGGACATGGCCATGTGCGCTTATCTAATATCACGTATCATGAAAATTCAACTCTAGTACTGGAGAGGTTTGTTGACAAGAATCGTGAGTATAACTCAAGTTTTAACGGACTACATTTAATGACTTCCAATATCGGTTCATAACAACTATGATTAGATTTGTAACCTGCCTTGGTTTGTTCGAGATGTATTCGGGATATCGACCCTCTATATATCAAGACTTGTCTGTTTATTTACTTATTTACTTACAGTGTATTGCGCCATTAAGAAGTCGGCATTGGTAAAATCTGAAAAGAGATACAAATGTAAGAGAATGTTGGTAGAAGTTTTAATCCCAGTTGTAATTCCATTCAGCCATTTCCCTATAGAAATTTTATTGTGATATAAAGATCCCATGACTGATGAATTATTTAAATGGTAAATCCAGAGCCCCTGCTGCATCCACCAACATCTGTCTGAGGCAAGGAGGTTGACTGACTGTTAAAGTGGGAACTAGACATTTATAGCCAGTCATCATCTTGTCTCGGATACATCAAACCACCAACATCTGTCTGAGGCAAGGAGGTTGACTGACTGTTAAAGTGGAAACTAGACATTTATAGTCAGTCATCATCTTGTCTCGGATACATCAAACCACCAACATCTGTCTGAGGCAAGGAGGTTAACTGACTGTTAAAGTCGGAACGAGACATTTATAGTCAGTCATCATCTTGTCTCGGGTACATCAAACCACCAACATTTGTCTGAGGCAAGGAGGTTGACTGACTGTTAAAGTCGGAACGAGACATTTATAGCCAGTCATCATCTTGTCTCGGGTACATCAAACCACCAACATCTGTCTGAGGCAAGGAGGTTAACTGACTGTTAAAGTGGAAACTAGACATTTATAGTCAGTCATCATCTTGTCTCGGGTACATCAAACCACCAACATCTGTCTGAGGCAAGGAGGTTAACTGACTGTTAAAGTGGAAACTAGACATTTATAGCCAGTCATCATCTTGTCTCGGGTACATCAAACCACCAACATCTGTCTGAGGCAAGGAGGTTGACTGACTGTTAAAGTGGGAACTAGACATTTATAGTCAGTCATCATCTTGTCTCGGGTACATCAAACCACCAACATCTTCCTGAGGCAAGGAGGTTAACTGACTGTTAAAGTGGGAACTAGACATTTATAGCCAGTCATCATCTTGTCTCGGATACATCAAACCACCAACATCTGTCTGAGGCAAGGAGGTTGACTGACTGTTAAAGTGGAAACTAGACATTTATAGTCAGTCATCATCTTGTCTCGGATACATCAAACCACCAACATCTGTCTGAGGCAAGGAGGTTAACTGACTGTTAAAGTGGGAACTGTTAGGAGAAGAGACATTTATAGCCAGTCATCATCTTGTCTCGGGTACATCAAACCACCAACATTTGTCTGAGGCAAGGAGGTTGACTGACTGTTAAAGTCGGAACGAGACATTTATAGCCAGTCATCATCTTGTCTCGGGTACATCAAACCACCAACATCTTCCTGAGGCAAGGAGGTTGACTGACTGTTAAAGTGGGAACTAGACATTTATAGTCAGTCATCATCTTGTCTCGGGTACATCAAACCACCAACATCTGTCTGAGGCAAGGAGGTTGACTGACTGTTAAAGTGGAAACTAGACATTTATAGTCAGTCATCATCTTGTCTCGGATACATCAAACCACCAACATCTGTCTGAGGCAAGGAGGTTGACTGACTGTTAAAGTCGGAACAGAGACATTTATAGCCAGTCATCATCTTGTCTCGGGTACATCAAACCACCAACATTTGTCTGAGGCAAGGAGGTTGACTGACTGTTAAAGTGGAAACGAGACATTTATAGTCAGTCATCATCTTGTCTCCGGGTACATCAAACCACCAACATCTTCCTGAGGCAAAGGAGGTTGACTGACTGTTAAAGTGGGAACTAGACATTTATAGTCAGTCATCATCTTGTCTCGGATACATCAAACCACCAACATCTGTCTGAGGCAAGGAGGTTGACTGACTGTTAAAGTGGAAACTAGACATTTATAGCCAGTCATCATCTTGTCTCGGGTACATCAAACCACCAACATCTGTCTGAGGCAAGGAGGTTGACTGACTGTTAGACATTTAAAGTGGGAACTAGACATTTATAGTCAGGCATCATCTTGTCTCGGATACATCAAACCACCAACATCTTCCTGAGGCAAGGAGGTTGACTGACTGTTAAAGTGGGAACTAGACATTTATAGTCAGTCATCATCTTGTCTCGGATACATCAAACCACCAACATCTGTCTGAGGCAAGGAGGTTGACTGACTGTTAAAGTGGAAACTAGACATTTATAGTCAGTCATCATCTTGTCTCGGATACATCAAACCACCAACATCTGTCTGAGGCAAGGAGGTTGACTGACTGTTAAAGTCGGAACGAGACATTTATAGCCAGTCATCATCTTGTCTCGGGTACATCAAACCACCAACATCTGTCTGAGGCAAGGAGGTTGACTGACTGTTAAAGTGGGAACTAGACATTTATAGCCAGTCATCATCTTGTCTCGGATACATCAAACCACCAACATCTTCCTGAGGCAAGGAGGTTGACTGACAGTGAGGTTGACTGTTAAAAGTGGGAACTAGACATTTATAGTCAGTCATCATCTTGTCTCGGGTACATCAAACCACCAACATCTTCCTGAGGCAAGGAGGTTGACTGACTGTTAAAGTGGAAACTAGACATTTATAGTCAGTCATCATCTTGTCTCGGGTACATCAAACCACCAACATCTGTCTGAGGCAAGGAGGTTAACTGACTGTTAAAGTGGAAACTAGACATTTATAGCCAGTCATCATCTTGTCTCGGGTACATCAAACCACCAACATCTTCCTGAGGCAAGGAGGTTGACTGACTGTTAAAGTGGAAACTAGACATTTATAGTCAGTCATCATCTTGTCTCGGGTACATCAAACCACCAACATTTGTCTGAGGCAAGGAGGTTGACTGACTGTTAAAGTGGGAACGAGACATTTATAGTCAGTCATCATCTTGTCTCGGGTACATCAAACCACCAACATCTGTCTGAGGCAAGGAGGTTGACTGACTGTTAAAGTGGAAACTAGACATTTATAGTCAGTCATCATCTTGTCTCGGATACATCAAACCACCAACATCTGTCTGAGGCAAGGAGGTTGACTGACTGTTAAAGTGGGAACTAGACATTTATAGCCAGTCATCATCTTGTCTCGGGTACATCAAACCACCAACATCTGTCTGAGGCAAGGAGGTTGACTGACTGTTAAAGTGGAAACTAGACATTTATAGTCAGTCATCATCTTGTCTCGGGTACATCAAACCACCAACATCTGTCTGAGGCAAGGAGGTTGACTGACTGTTAAAGTGGAAACTAGACATTTATAGCCAGTCATCATCTTGTCTCGGGTACATCAAACCACCAACATTTGTCTGAGGCAAGGAGGTTGACTGACTGTTAAAGTGGGAACGAGACATTTATAGCCAGTCATCATCTTGTCTCGGGTACATCAAACCACCAACATCTGTCTGAGGCAAGGAGGTTGACTGACTGTTAAAGTTGGAACTAGACATTTATAGTCAGTCATCATCTTGTCTCGGGTACATCAAACCACCAACATCTGTCTGAGGCAAGGAGGTTGACTGACTGTTAAAGTGGAACTAGACATTTATAGTCAGTCATCATCTTGTCTCGGGTACATCAAACCACCAACATCTGTCTGAGGCAAGGAGGTTGACTGACTGTTAAAGTGGAAACTAGACATTTATAGTCAGTCATCATCTTGTCTCGGGTACATCAAACCACCAACATCTGTCTGAGGCAAGGAGGTTGACTGACTGTTAAAGTGGAAACTAGACATTTATAGTCAGTCATCATCTTGTCTCGGATACATCAAACCACCAACATCTTCCTGAGGCAAGGAGGCTGACTGACTGTTAAATTTGAAAGTAGACATTTATAGCCAGTCATCATCTTGTCTCGGGTACATCAAACCACCAACATCTTCCTGAGGCAAGGATGTTGACTGACTGTTAAAGTGGCAACTGGACATTTATCGTCAGTTATCATCTTGTCTTGAGAAGTGCACCAAGAACGAAAAGACACACATTTTGAAAATATATCTTACTTAATGTAACGAAGTCGCCTGCCGTCACACGACCATTTTGGTTGACGTCAAACTGTTTGTACATGAATGCGCCGTACTCTTTGGAGTAGCCGTACCGACACGTCCACCGAGACACGACCTCCCATTCTTCTACGATACAAGGGTCATCTGTAGGGTAAATTGAAACATGCAGGGGTTTTCACAAAAACGTATGCCACAGTTGTTTGGGTCTTCGGGTTTTCTTTATCACCATCAATATCACCACCATCATCATTAGCATCAAACTTCACATTCTTAAGATTATCAAATATAAAATATAGACTGAAGTTTAGTTTTACGCCGCTTTTTAGCAATATTCCAGCAATATCACGGCGGGGCTGCCCATGTGAATTTTCGTGATTTTCACTTTTAGGTATAGTCAATGCTGAGCCTAGGTATAGTCAAAAACGATATTCAGTTTAAGATGTGACAATAGTTTAAGCCGAATTACATAATAAACTACTATGAACATGCAAGTTGTCTGTCTCAAAAAAAGTTTATGTATGGGCCAGTAAATCAAGTCTGCACTTAAAGGTGGCATACATACACAAGGTCTGTACAATTTGAGCAAGCATAGCGATATCTTTACCAAACACAAAATGTAGATTCTGAAGTAACGGTAAACGGTTATAAGACTTATTTCAGACGTTTCGAGGAAGGTTTTCCTGATTATTGGACATGTGTGAGTGAGTGGGAGAAGTAAGTTTTACTCCAGAAATGGACTTCACACATTGTAGCCATGTGGGGAGTCGAATCGGACGAGCGACAGCTTTGACTACTAGGCTATCCCACTGCCTCTATTTAACACGAGCTTCAAATTATATCACAGATCATTAAGAAGAGACGATACAAATAAATGTCAACACATCAACATCGTTAGATATCAGCCTCAAATGACTTCACCATTGCTTCACATTTCCGCCATCTTTGGTACTTGATCACGTCATAAGTCACGTCATATCCGGTAACTTTCTCACTTTCCGGAGGGCTAAATGTTTTTTTATGGAGTGATTTTATTCAAATGAGTTCCCCTGCCCCCAGCCTTTTCCTTTCAACTTACCGTCGAAGTTGTAATTCAGGAGATCTGTGCCCATGTCAGTGCCGTCCACTCTGCCGTCATCGTTGACGTCGTTGTCTTTCACAGCAGCACAGAATTTCCCCAACAGCATATCAGGGGGGTTGCAGGGCACGCTTCAAGAAACGACAGTTAGTGAAAGAATGAATGAGTCAAACTAGGTTTCTGGGGTTCTAACTTGGGGATGTTTAGTACACTCTTCAAAAAAAGAAACGGATATGTGTTTCCAGCAGTTCATTTCGATATATTTTGACAGCAATCCTCATTAAGACAATTCCTGTGTTTGAATCCCGTTACTCATGTCGTGGGTGTATTTCGCGCATGCGTATCCCAAAACGTGTTTGTAAGTGTTGGCCATAAAAAAGGAAAACGATACATGAAAATGCATGCAGAAAACGTTTTCCACGTAATGCACGTGCAACGTGTTGAACAGTAAAGACATCGACTATAAAAGGCCAAACCAAATTCATTATTTCGTCACGAAATTTACGACGTAAACGATGATAACAAATGCCGAGATTGAATGCTACTGACCGAAATATCGCCATTGGACGTTTGGAAGAAGGGAGTCTTAGTCTGCACTTGCAAGATGCTTCAACATCAACAACAGCACCATATCTCGATTATGACATCGGTTTACCCGCTTCAATTTGCCCCAAGATCGTCCATAAAGTGGAAGATCAAGAGTGACCACTCCTGCTCAGGACGCATTCACCCGGGTGTTTCACCTACGTCACCGATTTGAATTTCCGACCAAACCATCAGAAATCGTCTGAGAGAAGTGGGAATTCGAGCCAAATCAAAAGCTGGACCTGTCCTGACACGTCTATGCTGACAACGACGTGTCTAATAACTGGGCATCACATGGAACGCGTTTGGTTCAGCGATGAATTGCGTTTCCATCTGCAATGACGGGATGGGGGACCATGTGTCTATCGACGTCAACACGAACGTTTTGCCCCGAACTGCGTTCGACAGGTGGACAGCTTTGGTGGAGAAAGCGTCCTGGTGTAAGGAGCCATGTCCTACACGGGTAAATCAGAGCTAGTGGTAGTTCATGGCAATCTTACAGCAAATCGCTACATCGACCAAATCCTGCCACCTCATCTCCTCCCTCTTTTTAACAACAAGAGGGGGCTGTTTCAACACAACAACGCTCGACCCCACACAGTTCGTGTGCAAACGTCATTGTCCTTCCCTGGCCTTCCAAATCGCCTGACCTGAACCCGAACGAGCATCTATCAGACGAACTTGACCGACGCGTCCGTAAACGTCACTATCGTCCTCAGACACATGACGAGCGGATACTTTAACCATTAGACTACCCCACCGCTCCCAATAGTGAGTGAGTGAGTGAGGAGTGAATGAGTGAGTTTTAAGCCGCTTTTAGCAATATTCCAGCAATATCACGGCTTCACTCATTGTACCCATGTGGGTAATCGAACCCGGATCATCGGCGTGACGAGCGAACGCCTTAACCACTAGGCAACCCTACCCCCCTCCCCTACACCTACCCCTACAACCACCACCACCACCACCACCCCATCCATCCCCACCACCCCACCCTACCCCGTAGTAGAGGTAGTAGTAGTAATAGTAGTATAGTTACAACGTATTTACAACAGTTTGCAAATCAGAATTACGGTGAAAGTCTTAATATACCTGGCGGCATCAAAGGTCCCACAGAAGAGAATGGCGAACGCGGCAAGTCGAAGCATTCTGAAAAAGAAAAACAGACTCAGGTGATGACGGTTGAATTTGCCAACAGAATTTCAAAATATCAAATTGTCACTGAGCATGCGATACACGACAAAGTAGTGGATGATGACACGAACACCAGTCAAATCAGTACACACTACATCTATCTGGAAGCTTAATTAGCAGGCAATAGTGAGGGTGGCCCTAAACTTTATATACCCTAAGTCTGAAAACGAAAAGAGTCATTACTCAGCACTGATGAATAAAGACCAAGTTGAATAGTGTAGTAAAATTCGGAAAAGTACGAACCTGTCTCAGTGCACTGGAAAACGACTCTAAATGTGGCCAGATCTGTCCCCGACTATTCAGCAGCAGTGTGTGTCTTAGCTCCGCCCCATGGGGAGGCTGACGCAAGGAGCTTTGGCAAGTGAGGGTGTCGACGAGGGGTACCCATGCTTCGTAAACTGAATTTTATAATCGTCTTCGTTTGTGGATACTGCAAGTGAATGGTACACTATTATCAATCTTAAGTAATTTTTTTCTGATTTGAAATGGAACATTCAAGATGCTCAAGGTAACTGAACAGGTAAAGTGAGTGCACGTGCGTGCATGTGTGTGTGCGTGTGTGTGCGCGTGCGTGCGTGTGCGTGTGTGTGTGTGTGATATCGTCTAAATCCAAAGTTACCAACCAGCAAGACCTTATGAAGCAAGTTCACTTTGAAACAACATTTATCTGTATTGCTGCAGGATTTCCTCTATGACTGTATGGTTGTCTGAATGTGACTGAGTGGTCGTCTGTAGGAGTACACACGTGACTGCATGGTTGTCTTTAGTACTACACATTCAACTGAAACGTTATCTGTGGGAATACACATGTGACTGAATAGTTTTCTGTAGGAGTACACACGTAACTGAATGGTTGTCTGTAGGAGTACACATGTAACTGAACGGATGTCTTTAGGAGTACACATGTAACTGAATGGATGTCTTTAGGAGTACACACGTGATTGAATGGTTGTCAGTAGGAGTACACATGTGACAGAATGGTTGTCTGAAGGAGTACACATGTGACTGAATGGTTGTGTGTAGGAGTACACATGTGACTGAATAGTTGTCTGTAGGAGTACACATGTGACTGAATGGTTGTCTGTAGGAGTACACATGTGACTGAATGATTATCTGTAGGAGTACACTTGTAACTGAATGGTTGTCTGTAGGAATACAGGTGTGACTGAAGGGTCTCTGTAGGAGTACACATGTGACTGAATAGGTCTCTGTAGGAGTACACATGTGACTGTATGATTGTCTATAGGAATACACAGGACACTGTATGGTTGTCTGTAGGAGTACACATGTGACTGAGTGGTTGTGTGTAGGAGTACACATGTGAATGAGTGGTTGTCAGAAGGAGTACACATGTGACTAAATGGTTGTCTGTAGGAGTACACATGTAACTGAGTGGTTGTCTGTAGAAGTACAAATGTCACTGAATGGTTGTCTGTAGGAGTACACATATGACTGAATTGTTGACTTCAGAGGTACACATGTAACTGAATGGTTGTCTGTAGGAGTACACATGTCACTGAGTGGTTGTCTCTAGGAGTACACATGTGACTGCATGGTTGTCTCTAGGAGTGCACATGTAACTGTATGGCTGTCTGTAGGAGTACAGATGTAACTGAGTGGTTGTCTGTAGGAGTACAATGTAACTGAATGGTTGTCTGTAGGAGTACACATGTGACAGAATTGTTGTCTTTAGGAGTACACATGTGACAGAATGGTTGTCTGTAGGAGTACACGTGTAACTGAATGGTTGTCTGTAGCAGTACACGTGTAACTGAATGGTTGTCTGTATGAGTACACATGTGACTGAATGGTTGTCTGTAGGAGTACACATGTGACAGAATGGTTTTCTGTAGGAGTACACATGTAACTGAGTAGTTGTCTGTAGAAGTACATATGTGACAAAATGGGAGTCTGTAGGAAGACACATGTGACAGAATGGTTGTCTGTAGGAGTACATATGTGACAAAATGGGAGTCTGTAGGAGTACACATATGAGTGAATGGTTGTCTGTAGGAGTACACTTGTCACTGAGTGGTTGTCTGAAGGAGTACACATGTAAGTGTATGGTTGTTTGTAGGAGTACACATGTGACTGAGTGGTTGTCTGTTGGAGTACACATGTGACTGAATGGTTATCTCTAGGAGTACACGTGTCACTGAGTGGTTGTCTGTAGGAGTACACATGTGACTGAATGGTTGTCTGTAGGAGTACACATGTGACTGAATTGGAGTCTGTAGGAGTACAATGTAACTGAATGGTTGTCTGTAGAAGTACATATGTGACAAAATGGGAGTCTGTAGGAATACACATGTGACAGAATGGTTGTCTGTAGGAGTACATATGTGACAAAATGGGAGTCTGTAGGAGTACGAGTGTGACTGAATGGTTGTCTGTAGGAGTACACATGTAACTGAGTGGTTGTCTTTAGAAATACAAATGTCACTGAATGGTTGCCTGTAGGAGTACACATGTAAGTGAGTGGTTGTCTGTAGGAGTATACATGTGACTGAATGGGTGTCTGTAGGAGTACACATGTGACTGTATGGTTGTCTGTAGGAGTACACATGTGACTAAATGATTGTCTGTAGGAGTACACATGTAACTGAGTGGTTGTCTGTAGGAGTACAAATGTCACTGAATGGTTGTCTGTAGGAGTACACATGTGACTGAATGGTTGTCTGTAGGAGTACACATATGACTGAATGGCTGTCTGCAGGAGTACACATGTAAGTTAATGGCTGTATGTAGGAGTACAGATGTAACTGAGCGGTTGTCTGTAGGAGTACAATGTGACTGAATGGTTGTCTGTAGGAGTACACATGTGACAGAATGGTTTTCTGTAGGAGTACACATGTAACTGAGTAGTTGTCTGTAGAAGTACATATGTGACAAAATGGGAGTCTGTAGGAATACACATGTGACAGAATGGTTGTCTGTAGGAGTACATATGTGACAAAATGGGAGTCTGTAGGAGTACACATATGAGTGAATGGTTGTCGGTAGGAGTACACTTGTCACTGAGTGGTTGTCTGAAGGAGTACACATGTAAGTGTATGGTTGTTTGTAGGAGTACACATGTGACTGAGTGGTTGTCTGTTGGAGTACACATGTGACTGAATGGTTATCTCTAGGAGTACACGTGTCACTGAGTGGTTGTCTGTAGGAGTACACATGTGACTGAATGGTTGTCTGTAGGAGTACACATGTGACTGAATTGGAGTCTGTAGGAGTACAATGTAACTGAATGGTTGTCTGTAGAAGTACATATGTGACAAAATGGGAGTCTGTAGGAATACACATGTGACAGAATGGTTGTCTGTAGGAGTACATATGTGACAAAATGGGAGTCTGTAGGAGTAATGAGTGTGACTGAATGGTTGTCTGTAGGAGTACACATGTAACTGAGTGGTTGTCTTTAGAAATACAAATGTCACTGAATGGTTGCCTGTAGGAGTACACATGTAAGTGAGTGGTTGTCTGTAGGAGTATACATGTGACTGAATGGGTGTCTGTAGGAGTACACATGTGACTGTATGGTTGTCTGTAGGAGTACACATGTGACTAAATGGTTTTTCTGTAGGAGTACACATGTAACTGAGTGGTTGTCTGTAGGAGTACAAATGTCACTGAATGGTTGTCTGTAGGAGTACACATGTGACTGAATGGTTGTCTGTAGGAGTACACATATGACTGAATGGCTGTCTGCAGGAGTACACATGTAAGTTAATGGCTGTATGTAGGAGTACAGATGTAACTGAGCGGTTGTCTGTAGGAGTACAATGTAACTGAATGGTTGTCTGTAGAAGTACATATGTGACAAAATGGGAGTCTGTAGGAATACACATGTGACAGAATGGTTGTCTGTAGGAGTACATATGTGACAAAATGGGAGTCTGTAGGAGTACGAGTGTGACTGAATGGTTGTCTGTAGGAGTACACATGTGACAGAATTGTTGTCTTTAGGAGTACACATGTGACAGAATGGTTGTCTGTAGGAGTACACGTGTAACTGAATGGTTGTCTGTAGCAGTACACGTGTAACTGAATGGTTGTCTGTATGAGTACACATGTGACTGAATGGTTGTCTGTAGGAGTACACATGTGACAGAATGGTTTTCTGTAGGAGTACACATGTAACTGAGTAGTTGTCTGTAGAAGTACATATGTGACAAAATGGGAGTCTGTAGGAAGACACATGTGACAGAATGGTTGTCTGTAGGAGTACATATGTGACAAAATGGGAGTCTGTAGGAGTACACATATGAGTGAATGGTTGTCTGTAGGAGTACACTTGTCACTGAGTGGTTGTCTGAAGGAGTACACATGTAAGTGTATGGTTGTTTGTAGGAGTACACATGTGACTGAGTGGTTGTCTGTTAGATACACATGTGACTGAATGGTTATCTCTAGGAGTACACGTGTCACTGAGTGGTTGTCTGTAGAGCACACATGTGACTGAATGGTTGTCTGTAGGAGCACACATGTGACTGAATTGGAGTCTGTAGGAGTACAATGTAACTGAATGGTTGTCTGTAGAAGTACATATGTGACAAAATGGGAGTCTGTAGGAATACACATGTGACAGAATGGTTGTCTGTAGGAGTACATATGTGACAAAATGGGAGTCTGTAGGAGTACGAGTGTGACTGAATGGTTGTCTGTAGGAGTACACATGTAACTGAGTGGTTGTCTTTAGAAATACAAATGTCACTGAATGGTTGCCTGTAGGAGTACACATGTAAGTGAGTGGTTGTCTGTAGGAGTATACATGTGACTGAATGGGTGTCTGTAGGAGTACACATGTGACTGTATGGTTGTCTGTAGGAGTACACATGTGACTAAATGGTTGTCTGTAGGAGTACAAATGTCACTGAATGGTTGTCTGTAGGAGTACACATGTGACTGAATGGTTGTCTGTAGGAGTACACATATGACTGAATGGCTGTCTGCAGGAGTACACATGTAAGTTAATGGCTGTATGTAGGAGTACAGATGTAACTGAGCGGTTGTCTGTAGGAGTACAATGTAACTGAATGGTTGTCTGTAGAAGTACATATGTGACAAAATGGGAGTCTGTAGGAATACACATGTGACAGAATGGTTGTCTGTAGAAGTACATATGTGACAAAATGGGAGTCTGTAGGAGTACGAGTGTGACTGAATGGTTGTCTGTAGGAGTACACATGTGACTGAAGGGTTCTCTGTAGGAGTACACATGTGATTGAATGGGTCTCTGTA